GGTGAGATGGCTGGATGGCATCATCAACTCAATGGACATGAGTTTGAGCAAACTCTTGGAGATAGTGAAAAAACAGAGAAGACTGGTGTGCTGCAATTCATGGGGTGGCAAAGAGTCAGACACAATTTAGTGACTGAACAACAATACAGGACATCTACAGACCCACATACATACATAATAATATATCACTAATAATCTAGTAAAGAGTTGAAATCAGTAGTACAAACAAGCATGGTATTATTAGAATAAACAGCAAAAATATGATGACTATCCACTGTCCCTAGAACTCAAAGACAGAAAAAATTGCTAAAGAATAGGATTTTCCCCCACCACACAGGCATAATAGCCAATAAAGCACAGAAGTGGGAAAAGGGAATTCACACGTATAAATGACAGCATACTTTCTTTGAGAAGCAATTTTACAATATCTGTCAAAATTTTACATGAATACATTCTTTTACCTAGTAATTCTCCTTCTAGGAGTTATCCTAAAAATAATTCCTTGTATACTTTTTAAATGTATACACACACACACACGTATATAACAATGTAACATGTTATAGGGCAAAGGTTTAAAATTAATATAAATGATCATACAATGGAATAACATAATTTTTGGCAATGCTGAAAGAACTTTCGAAATGGAAAGATGTTCACAATATAAACTGTTCTACATACACACACATCCAAAAGCAAATACATATAATACATGTAAAGAACTTAAATCAGGTACTGTATATAATACAAGTTAATTTCAAGAATGTATGAATAGTTCAAGGGTGAAAAAAAAAAAACAGGAAATGCATCCTGTAAGCTGTAAATACACACTCAGTATCTGAGTGAAGAAATAAAAGAAGTAAAGCGGCAACCTGGGTTTATAACTAATAACATAGAATCACATGAATTTTCACTTTCTACATTTCAGCATTTCTTGATTCTTATAATGAATATTTTAAGTGGTTAGAAGTAACTGTATGGTCTTTAAATTAAGAAATTTAAAACGTATTAAGGCAAATGTGGCCTCTGATCCCACTTCTTGGAAATAATCATTAGCACAATATCCATAGCTCTCTAAAATTTTTAACTTTTACATTAACTCACATATATTGCTATATTTTATTTCACAAGTCAGGTACTGATTTACTTAAAACCACTAGAGTCATTGAGAGTAATAATAATTGACTTGAAATTAATTTCTTAAAAATGACTGATTTGAAAGTGAATAAATAATAGCTTTTATTTGACATGAAAATACCAATTGATTGGTCATAGCTTCCTGAAAGACTGCACTGATAAAAATTCTAAAGCAGCTGTAGGTTCATTAAGAAAGTAATCAATTACTCTTAGTGACCATGAAAAAACAGGGAAGCACAAACTGTGCTGATACGAGTAAATGCCCATTAAATCTAATAATGACCTTCTATGGGGTAAAAGAACATCCGAATCTTTCAGTTTTTCACTTTTGTTAGGAGACAGACTTCGCACAGTAACACCTACAGAAAGGGAACTTGCTTTTCTTCTAGATAATAACTTTCAAAAGATTAGATCATGTAGGAACATTCAAATATATATTAACACCTTGTATCAAGTACTCTGTGAGGTACTAAAGATTTGAAAACAGCCTACAAACCTACAAGTAAGAGGCAATGAGCAACCAAAATTAAAAAAACAATAAATCCTATGGGAACACATACTACTGATGCTGAATAATGTCCTAACTCAAGAGAAGTTGAATAATGTCCTAACTCAAGAGGAGTTAGGATATGCGTATTCTAGAAGAGGAAGTAGAAAATGAGAGACCTGATAAAAAAAGGCAGATCACCCTCGGAAATGGAAGCTCAATAAAACGATCACAGAGGAGTGTTGCTGCAGAGAAGAAGGTGGAGATGGGGAAGACTGGTGATGGCCGAAACTAACGCTGGGAAAACACACTGTGAGGCAATCAGTTCACCAAAGACCGAATGATTCTGCTGTGCAACAGTTCTTACTGCTTCTTAATTCCAACCATTTGGAGATTTCTTTGTATTTTCTACATATACATTCAAATTATCTATGAATAAAGATGATTTTACAACTTTCATTCTAATATTTACACCTTTTATTTTTCTTATCTTATTGTAATGGCAAGGACTTGAGTTCAATGGTAAACAGAAGTTCAATGGTAAATCCATCCCAAATTCAATAGGAAAATATTTAATATATCATTATTGAATATAATATTAACAGTAGATTTTTTATAGACTTTTTTAGCATACTGATGTTTCTTTGTATTCCTAATTTGCTAAAAGTTTTTTAATCATAAAGGTTTTTTCTATTTCTATTGAAATGATTATTTGTGTTTCTTCTTCATTCTACTAATATGGTGAATTACACTGATTGATTCTCAAATGTTAACCAACCTTGTATACCTGGAATATCTTTACTTGGTCCTGACATATAATTCTTCCTATGTATCACTGGATTCTATTTGATAATATTTACATGCAAATTACACCAAGAAAGAGAAAGGGAAAGAGGGAGAAAGGAGAGAGGGAGAAAAACGAAAAGAAAGACAAAGGAAGGGAGAGAGAGAGGCAGAAGCAAGGGGAAGGGAGGAGAGAGGAAGGGAGGGAGGGATGTGTTGGGTATGAGAAGGTGAAGTTAAGAAAAAAGGGTAACAGAAAAGAATTACTCAAGAAGAGTTAGCAACCCACATTCAGACAATATCCCAAAGAGAACAGGGATGAAATTATTTTTTAATTAATCATTCTGGGGGTGTTAACAGTCAAATACAAGTACCAGAGAGAACACTGAAAATTTAGGAAAAGAAATCATCAAAAAAGTAGTTCAAGGAACTTTCTCAAAACTATACTACTTGCATTTCTACACTGAAGAGGCCCAGAATAATATATGAACCAACAAACAACACTGCAAAATTTCAGAACACTGGGAATAAAGCCAACATTCTACTAGGTCCCAGAGAAATAAACAAGCCATTTACAAAGAAAAAGGTATCAAAATGACTTAAGATTCTTCAACCATAACACCAGATTAATACCTTCAAATTTCTGAAGTAACATTACTTACACATATTTCTTATCCAGCCAAATTAACAATCAAGAATTAATTAAGGAAGAATAAAGACATCTTCACAAAAACAAGATCCACCACACGTCCTTTTTCCAGAAACTATTAAAGACTTATTCCATCAAAATGCATGCAGAAGCAAAATGGGCAAAAGAGAGGAATTAGGTAGTCTATTTTCCATTATAAAATTTATCTAATCAGTTGCATGTATAGCTTTGACAGAAACAAATCTAAAAAATTAATAAAACCAACACATGCATTTTCTGTAAGTCAGACATTTAGCTTTGTGAAATTACATCTTAAATATTAAAATTAAAGTATACTAAAAAGGTATATTATAGTGGATGGAGAAATTTTTCTTTTAATTAGACAAAGTAAATTAAACAAACTCAAATCCTACTAGCAATATTAACTTCTAAAGTTTTATACTCTCCCATGAAGTATTTCTGCCCAAAGTAAAAAATTTGAGAAAAGTTGAACATTAATAATTGGCACAAAGAGGGGAATTCCCTGGTGGTCCAGTGGTTAGGACTCCATGCTTCCACTGACGGGGGCCTGGATTCTATCCCTGGTCATGGAACTAGATCTCACAAGCCACACCGTGCAACCAAAAAAATTTTTTTAATAAATAGTAAATAGTTGATATAAAGAGAAGAACTTCATAAATGAAATGAAAGGAGAAAAATCTGCCCGTGAATTACATACAAAAGAAACAAAGACACAGTAGACCCCTTTAGTAATAAAGTTCTTAATTCCAATCATGCAAAGAGAACACTGGCTATTCCAAAAACAATCTTCTTTGTCAAAACTTTCACCAAAACACAAATGCAACAGAAAACAGAGTGTGTGTGAAGCAGAGACAGAGCTGATAACTGTATAATGCCACATACTTCAATAACAAGGAAAAATCTTCCCATGACTGCAGGATAGTATTGCCTTATTACCTCTACCTTTAACATTTCAATTAAGCAGATTTAATAATTAAATTAATCTCTAATAATGCTTAGGCAGAGTTTAAATAAACTCTGTTTAAATAAACATCATTCTCACCAATTTAGAGAAGTAACTGTACAGAGTGTTAGGAAGATTTCCCAACTTCTGTTCAAACTTTAAAAATATAACAGAATTTTAATATTTTAATATTCTCTTTTATAAGTATACAAATGGCATTGAAATGATTGTTTTTAATGCACATGCAAAAAGATTACCGAGCAAACACTGGCAAATTGAAGAGAAAATACAGTATGTAGAAAGCTCAGATCATTAAAGAGTTGGGAGTTATTTAGGCTTCTAAACAACTGATATATTTTAACCATATATTTTATTTTTTTAATAAAAATGCATAATATTTACATACAACATTAAGAAGTTTTCATTAGTAAAGCAGAAATTCAAGGCCAAAAGTTCAAAGTTGTACTTCTGCCATCGCTATAAATACAGGCAAGAGGCTCATCTGCAATCGAGATAATGGTGAAAACCAAGCTCTCCAAGGCAGTAAGTAAAACTGAGAAGAGCAAAGACCCTGAGAACATCAGAGACTTGGGGAACACCCACAGCAGAAAGCTAAAGGAGCAACATAACAAAAGCAGCACAGTCAGCAAGGAAGGGATCTGGGAAGAGCGCTGCCATGAAAACCAATAGAGAAGAGGGCTTCTAGAAAGAGCCAGCAAAGTCAGAGACTAAATGGAGATCAAAGGGAAGGAAGATAAATCAAAACCACAGCAGAAAGTGAATGGCCATATTGAATTGGTTAAGATTACCTATTTCCATCTCAACTGACAGAACTTAAGACTTTATCTTGGAGGGAGGAGGGGAAGGCTATGGACACTTGGAGGAAAACAGGCTTTAGTTATCATTCTTGCTGTCTGTGTCCAAGAGCGTAAAAGAGAAACCTCTTTCTGAATGATTTGTTTCTTCTTAAGAGCTACACTCACCAAACTGTGGAGCAGGCAAGATTCTAGCCGCTCGAATGGGGCCATGTCGAACAGAAAAAAGCTCCTGTGCTTCCCCACTGATCTGCAGGAGACAGAAAAAATTCAGGAAATGAAAACAAAGGTCAGAACATCATTATACAAAAACAAGATCTCCTAAATTTTTACCATGATTTTTGGTCTCAAATGTAATATATACACATACACACATACTTACGGTGACCATACACATTAAGCATATTGATATGTTAAATTATCATAAATATTTTTAGAAAATGTTAAGAGCATACACTTCACATGAATAGGAAAATAAAAGGTCTGTTTTGGAAGCCTAGAATTTTTATCTTTAATAAACTACAAGTTTGTTAAAGTCTGTTCAGTTCCTACATGACTGCTTTCCATTTTAGAGCAAAGCAGCTAGGATTTTTACTAGTATTCAGCTTTCTATGTATGAAAATAAATATTCTTAGCTTTATGAAAAGCAGAACTTAAATGCTATAGTAACTTTCACAAATGTGCTATATATGAGAAAAAGCAAAACATGTTGCAAAGAACACTAGGTGGAGGGTGAATGACCTGGGTGCCAGTTAGGTTCTGCAACCCTAGCTGTTAACCTCCTTGGGTAAATCATTTGACCTCTATAAACCTTTATTACTTATCTTCTTCTCTAAATATATTTTAGTAAATATTGTATGTATTTAGGTGTACAACATGAAGATTTGATATACATATACCTGTACATATATATATATCACCTTCTCAGAGTCACCTTCTGTATGTGATAAAAGTACCTGAAATCTAATTTTCTTTTCTTTCTTTTATGGCCATGTCGCATGACATGCAGGATCTTAGTTCCCTGACCAGGGATCAAACTCACAGCCCCCTACAGTGGAAGCACGGAGTCTTAACCACTGGACCACCAAGGAAAGTCAAGAACTCTATTTTTTCAGTATTCAATACAATGTAATTAATTACAGTCACCATGCCTAAACATTAGGTCTCCTGACTTACTCAACTTATAAAACTGAACCTTTATACTTTTTGACCAACATCTCCACATTTCCTCTACCTCCTCTGAGCCTATATTCTTTGCATTTATAATATAAGTTGAGATGATAAAAATGCTAAACAAACTCAAAATGAATATAGTTTCAATATTCTATTCATTAAAAATGTATGCATCCTTAAATTTCATTTTTATTATACACTAAGATCAAACACTATATGAATCTCTGTTCATTTTGAGTCATTATCACATTTGTTCCTCAAATATAAAGGGTATAGTAGCTTATTAATCCAAAAGTAAAAGAGGTAGACTAATATATGTGTCAAGTGTGAAAACAACTGCTTTTCAAAATTAGTAGTTCAAAAGGACAATCTGTTGCTAACTGAAATACTGCACAGATTAAATCATAATTAGTTAAAAAAGTATTTCCAGAGTAATGTAAGTGGTAATGTCATTCCCAATACATTTTCTTAATTGTCAAGTGTTTGATGGAATATGTTATATCAGATCAAGAAAATGGCAAATACTGTAAAACTCATTCTATAAACCCAAAAACTTACAACAGATGTAAAAATGGTAAACATTCCATAATGTAAACATGCCAATGGTATTTCTTTAAAAACAGGCCTGCCAAACAAGGAGTTTAAAATATCAACACGTTATATATTACAAAAGGTTTATCAGTCTTCCCATATTAAACAATAAATCTGCAGGGCTGCCTTTTATATCAACACTTTTTTAGATCTTCAGCTTCTCTTCTACATGAATTGAAGTGCTTCACACTGTAAATAATTTTGTCTCTTATAAATGTTAAATTATGGTAATGCCCAAAGAGCCATCATAATCGTTTAGAATACAAAAATAATTAAAATGTATTTATTGACCACAGTGGCAAATCCCTCTACAGCACTTGGGAAGCAAAAGCTATGAGGAACGCTAGGCTCTTCCCACTAACTATGCAACAACAGCACCACCTACCACCAACTAAACACACAAAAGCTACAAACTCAGGATAGCAAACTAAAAGAGTTTACCTCTCTACAAATTCCTCTGTAGACACTAAATTTCTAAATGAACTATGAAGGCCATTAGATAACTACAGCTCTTAAATCTGTATTTTATTCTTATAGAACAGAATTTTAAATTTAGAAAAATCCTTAAAGGGTCATTTTGTCTAATCTCCTACCCCATCAAATAATCACACATTCTCTGAAATCTAAAAATTACCATCATCTCTTTGATTTTAAGAACACTTTCATCGAATGGTATATCACTAATACAGTCCAATTACATTATAAATACATTACTGGCTATCTCCAAAGCTGCCAAGTCATTTACTTTTCGAAAATAAATTGCTTGGTGGACAATGGATAAATAGTATTCTTCAATATATATACTATTTCTACCAAGAATGAAATGAAAAATAAACTGTAAAACAATATTGTAGATATTGCACTGAAGTTATAATTCAGAGTAATGAAAACCACTTCTCACAAATAAGGTTTATTATACCTATAACAAATCACAGTATTCTAACACAAAATCCACTGCTCTGTAATATTATTTCCATATGTCACAAGTTTAGCATTTAGCTTTTGGTTCTATCAAATAGAGCTTTAAAAAAAAAGTTTAAAAAAAAGTCTAAAGTTTAAAAAAAAAAAGTCTAAACATATTTACCTGAACTGCTATACTAAATTATAATAAAGAATGTAACAAACCTGTCATGGCACATTTACAATATGATAAACATTTATCATCATTGGATTTAATACCCAAGAGCTTACTTTGATATACAAAAACATTTTGAAATCTGAACATACCACGCTTTTGAGCATAACAGCTTTTAAAACAAACCGAAATGCCTTATTCTATTCTAGGCTTTTACTCTAAATCCCTCTTTAAATGTACAGCAACAGGTTAAGAAAAAACATTAGGATTGATTACAAAATACATCCCTATATTCATTACCCCGTCCTTCTTATGTCTAAGTTAAGGTCCTAGAATCTTTCATTAAAACATCAGGGAAGGAAGCGGGGAAAGCACTATCACTATTTACTAAATAGTGATAGAAATTTTTTTTTTTTTTTAGATCTTCAGCTTCTCTTCTACATGAATTGAAGTGCTTCACACTGTAAATAATTTTGTCTCTTATAAATGTTAAATTATGGTAATGCCCAAAGAGCCATCATAATCGTTTAGAATACAAAAATAATTAAAATGTATTTATTGACCACAGTGGCAAATCCCTCTATAGCACTTGGGAAGCAAAAGCTATGAGGAACGCTAGGCTCTTCCCACTAACTATGCAACAACAGCACCACCTACCACCAACTAAACACACAAAAGCTACAAACTCAGGATAGCAAACTAAAAGAGTTTACCTCTCTACAAATTCCTCTGTAGACACTAAATTTCTAAATGAACTATGAAGGCCATTAGATAACTACAGCTCTTAAATCTGTATTTTATTCTTATAGAACAGAATTTTAAATTTAGAAAAATCCTTAAAGGGTCATTTTGTCTAATCTCCTACCCCATCAAATAATCACACATTCTCTGAAATCTAAAAATTACCATCATCTCTTTGATTTTAAGAACACTTTCATCGAATGGTATATCACTAATACAGTCCAATTACATTATAAATACATTACTGGCTATCTCCAAAGCTGCCAAGTCATTTACTTTTCGAAAATAAATTGCTTGGTGGACAATGGATAAATAGTATTCTTCAATATATATACTATTTCTACCAAGAATGAAATGAAAAATAAACTGTAAAACAATATTGTAGATATTGCACTGAAGTTATAATTCAGAGTAATGAAAACCACTTCTCACAAATAAGGTTTATTATACCTATAACAAATCACAGTATTCTAACACAAAATCCACTGCTCTGTAATATTATTTCCATATGTCACAAGTTTAGCATTTAGCTTTTGGTTCTATCAAATAGAGCTTTAAAAAAAAAGTTTAAAAAAAAGTCTAAAGTTTAAAAAAAAAAAGTCTAAACATATTTACCTGAACTGCTATACTAAATTATAATAAAGAATGTAACAAACCTGTCATGGCACATTTACAATATGATAAACATTTATCATCATTGGATTTAATACCCAAGAGCTTACTTTGATATACAAAAACATTTTGAAATCTGAACATACCACGCTTTTGAGCATAACAGCTTTTAAAACAAACCGAAATGCCTTATTCTATTCTAGGCTTTTACTCTAAATCCCTCTTTAAATGTACAGCAACAGGTTAAGAAAAAACATTAGGATTGATTACAAAATACATCCCTATATTCATTACCCCGTCCTTCTTATGTCTAAGTTAAGGTCCTAGAATCTTTCATTAAAACATCAGGGAAGGAAGCGGGGAAAGCACTATCACTATTTACTAAATAGTGATAGAAATTTTTTTTTTCCTTTTATTTTTATTAGTTGGAGGCTAATTACTTTACAATATTGTAGTGGTTTTTGCCATACATTGACATGAATCAGCCATGGATTTAGAGTCACAAATTTAAAGTTTCCTAAAGAGTCACAAATGTCAAGCATGACACTTGGAGGAGAGAACCCTCCAAATAATATATGCAAATTCTACACTTGAATACAATTTCAGAACAGAAAAAGTGCTAATAATGTGTATACAGGTAAGATGTGCACATTTTAGGGAGGACACAGAGAAAACGGATATGGTCTTACAGCCTACACTTTGGCTGCCGGTTTTAATTACCTCTAATCATTTTATACAACATGTTCACTGGCAATATTGCTCTCAAATAAATGAGTGTCAAATTGATTTTTTTAAGCCTTTCAAAGTGATTTTTAGGTTTATTTAAAAAAAAAAAACTCGTTAAAAATAGCAAAGAATAAAATCCTCAGAGATGGGGATTTTAACTGATCCTGGGCAGAACCACCAGGGGCTCTAAGTTCACTTTTAAACCAACACTAATAATAAATACAAGGGTAGAACTACCAGCAAGGCGTTTACCAAGCAAAGTTCCAACTTGCTGGCAACTGCAGTAACTTGGGGAGAGGAGCAAATAGGGAGGAAACCTCTCCAAT